AAGTCTCTCGAACGTGATAATGCGCATCAGGACGGCCTGTAGTGATAATCATTATAACTAATACCGTAATTCGGTGTTGGAATATACTACTGCTTTCCTCAACTGAGCTCAGCAGTTTCCTCACTAATTACAGCAAGTCATAGACAAATTCGAGTAGAAGTGTACAGAAACCAACAATAACCTCTCAAAATTTTCTCAGAATTCCACATTGTCATCACCAACACGTGCAGTTGACCATGTGCATATTTTCCCGTAATCACAGTGAATACCCACCTGGTTTCTTGTCCAGGAAGAATTCTCTGCGAACCTTCAACGGTGCGTACTGTGCCCTGAAATTCCACCATACCACACCTCCGTCACATCCTTCCAAGTCTCTCCTCACTTCACTTTTAGCAACAACCGGAAGTAGAGGTTCACAAACTCCTTCTGATCGAGCATCTCATCACCGTCCACATCGAACTTCCTCAGACACTACATTACTCCAATAATGTCGCGCGCCACGAAACTATCAACGGTTCTTACCTGCATTACCGTCGCATCGCTAACTCCCGGAATTTGCAAATCTGCATTTAGTCTACTACACAGCTCCACCAACTCCGTGAAGGAAAGACGACCTGAAGAAAATCCACGAAACTAAAACAGTGTTGGAGGAATACATTTTCGCTTTCCTCTGCTCAGCTCAGGCGGCGTTTTCTCACTAATTATGAAAGTCTACATACGAGTTCGGTAAAAAATATTCAGGAATCAATGAGAATTTTTCCGAAATTTCCTCACAATTTTCGTATTATCCCCAACATATGTGGTTGACCATGTGCATATCTCCCCACACAAAACCAAGACGCACCATCCTCGTTGCGATCAAACTTCTTGAACCACGCAGCGGCGTGTGCACATAAAGTCTCCCGCTTATCCAGAAGCACTTGAATCTGATTGGGGGCAACGACGTTATAGTTGAGGAAATGCAAGATTGCAAGATTCCACACTACTTTCCGCAGCATTGATGGAGACGGCCCTTTAGTCGGCGACCCTGAAATAAGTGAAGTTCCCACAGAGGACAGACTATACGTTTTAGCAAATCTTATAAAAATCATCCAATTCGAAACTAGAATCACCAGTTCTCATCAACAACAACAACACTAAAAATCCTAGCGGAGCGAAGCTGATTTCTCACCTGTTTTCCCAGTCCGAGGCTCCTCCTTCTCCTTCTCCTCCCTCTCCTTCGCCTCAGCCTCCAATCGTCCTCCATAGCAGTCTCCACAAACATCATAG